TGACTAGATGACGGCCTCAGCAGTTTTCCGGCAGGAACGAACATGGAGGTCGGCATTTTGTCGCTCGTTGTTTAAATATTTTATGATACCAGCAATACTGTGAATTTGCAGACTGTCGGCTTCGGCTTGTAGAGCGTTTCTGACTAGTACTTCTCGACCGGTCACTTGTACGGGCTTCCAACCGTGCGAGACGAGCTGTGATCTCTGTCAATAAAGACCGTAAATCCGTCTGATCCGTCGAATCAGCAACTACGCTGACTGACTGTGCGTTAGTTGTTGTAGCCATGATACCATCCGCCATCTCTGCCAGCTTGTCCAGGTTATCGTTGGAAATCGCCAAAATCTGTTGAACGTTAGTAGGCAATCTCTGCAAAAATAAAGATTTAAGAATTTCATCGTTAATTCTCGCTCCGGCTTTATTCCGCATCTCCAGAAGCAGTCTTGAAGGACGGCGGTCGCCAAGTTGCATCCCCGAAATCAAATCCCTTAAGCGTTGAGCTTCAGATTCAGCATATTGAGAGCACAATCTTTTCTTAAGTGCGGCGAAAGGCTTATCCACAGGTGGACTGATAACAATGTCGTTGATAATCGCCAGTTCCTCCGGTTGTAGAGCAGCAACTACATGGTGAAATTTCGTTGATTCTGTACTTACTCCCGCAAGAGTGAACTGACTTTCTATTTGTCTGAACCACAATTCTGGATTAGCTCTCCTAAAAGGTGGCGGCTTTACAGTGACACGAGCAATTTGTTGATCAGCAGCTTCAGTAGATTCGGGCATTTTTCGCATTAATCCAAAATTTATAAGTCCAACAATAGAAGTAATTTGTACTCACGGCTTGCCAAAAAAAACTCTAAAACTTGAAACGTACCAGCATTTCCCCGTAATCCATCAACTAGTAGAATTTCTCAAAAGCAGTTTGCAGAAACAGAAATATACGTGTTCGTTTACAGGTCACCAATTGTATATGCTTCGGTGATGGGAATGTAGACTTTCAAATGAAAACAATATGGCAAAGAAACATCCTCTTTAATATTGAAAGAAAACAAACCATCTACGAAACTTCACAAACTCCAATGAACAAGTTATTCTTTAAAAACATTAAAAGTTGTTATTAAAAGAACAATTAAAAACTTAAACTTTTGATTGTAAATGGCGCATACTGCAGGTGGGCGTCACCGGGAAGAATTGGGATATCGGGACGAAGTCTCGGACGCTGCACAACAACCTCTCTCGAAGGCAAATTGTCATCTGCTTAAATACTGGACTTCAGCCTTTTCACTCCCTGCCTTGGCCGCCGGTTGATGCTCCTCCGCCGGTATTCATCCGCGCAGGAACTATTTCGGTTCGTCCTCCTACCTCCGATCTTCGTTCCCATCCTCGATCCTTCTACCTCAGTTTTTCCATGCAATCTGAGCTGACGCAACCAACAGCCTCTACAATAACATTACTGTTATGTATTTCATGCACCACACGTTCTTCGTTTTTCAAATTTTCATTTTTTAATTATTATTCTCCATTACAAAAGCGTGATTTTTAAAAATATTATTTTCTATTTTGATTTTTTTTTTAAAAATTTTTTGTGAAATTTCGAGCAGTTGGCATTTCTGTATCGATATAAAAACGCTAAAAACGAACATAATTCCATCTTCTTTCCTTTTCTTACAATCTTAGTTTTTATGTTCATAGACAATACATGTATAGGCAATTATCAGCTAAGTTATCTTCCTCTTTACAGAAGAAAAAAAATCAGTTGGCACAGGCAGCCCTCTCTAGATATTTATTTTAAATCAAAATAGTTTCCAAAATGAAAGAAATAGGTAAAAGTAACTACTTAATATTTTTTGTCTCTTCGAATGCTATTTTAATATTAATCCCTTAACGATCGGTTAATTTTCAAGAAAACGGTCATAAAAGTGCCTATTTTTTATTAGAGCTATTTGATTAGTGCTGACATCTAGTTTAAAATAAACTAACCATCTACAATTACCTTAAAAATATCCTGGTACTGCCATCTGGTGTGTAAAATGAGAAATAAAATGTTTTCCGGGCAAAAGAAATGAATTAGTTTTATTCTTATTGGCGTGTCACTACTGAACACTCCAGCCCGGAGATATCTCGGGAGCGAGAAATAGAGGGCGAAACCTCACCCCGTCATTTTCATGGGAGCGAGAAGGAAGGGGTTAAATGTCTATACTCGTTTATAAGGAAGAATCAAGCAATTGCTGCTAAAAAATTTCGACCGTTTTCCTGATAAAACTGCAAGAACACTATTTCACAGATGACAAGTCTCCCTCCATTTTGTGAAAAGTTTCATATTCGTCCTCTAGATCAAAGTTATTCAGGTGTTCCTTTATTTCTTTTTCTTCTTTTTCGTACGATTTTCATGCTTTGCGTACAGACGAGAAAGTTATGTTTCGTATCCAATAACATTTGTTTCAATCGGGAACATTTGGCTTTCATTTGGCATTTACTTGTCATTACTGGAGTCGTTTGTCTTTCCGTTCGAGTAAAATGTTGGCGAGTCAATAAAGATTTATCATATGTTTTTTTCCCCTTTGACGCAAAAGGTGATTGCCAAGCTTATGTTCCCGAAAAAGTTGTTTCTGTGCATGGTCGAACATCATAAATCACCAAAATGAGATGAAATTGTCTCTCCATTGGTCTTCTCAAAAATCACGACACCCCGTGGTAAATGGCTTTTGATTTCAATTCCTTCTTTACGATATCTCTATTATAATACACTTTATAATTTTCTTCTTTATAATTCATTTACTTCTTAGTTCAGGACTGCGAACTACTACGCGTTGTGAAAAATGTTTTGCAGCAAGCTAGATAATTAAAAACTAAAGCATTCAGAATTTTTGGTTATTTTGCTAAAAATTATAATACCCTCACTTCGAGAGAGTTAGAACAAGTGAACAAACAATGTATAGAGAAAAAATGCTTGATTGTGATAACTTTTGATCATTTGATCCGATTGAGTACATTTTTGCTGCGAATGATACCGAGTAAAGTTAAACTTTGTTTTAATGAATTTAATTTCCCAAAACGTGTTTTGCTTAAGCTAATAAAGCAAAGTCACTGGTGACAAATAATATTAAAAAATGGAAATTATTTTTGCTCTCTGTATTGTGGTAACAGTTTTGTGGTGGAGGGAAGAAAGCAGGGCAGTCTGAAACCATGGTAACGGGAAGGAGAAAAGTACAGAGAGAGGAGAAATTGCTTAAACTTGAGACGCCTCTTTGCAAAAAGTATAGTTGGGAATAAAGTTACCTTTTTTTTTAATTAGATGTCTTTTTTTCCAGTCCTCGAATTTAATTTAACTTTTTGAAACATTTCACTGGCAAAATTTATCTCTTGCCACGAGAATAGGAGAAAGGAAAAGGTACGTACCAAAGGATCAGATTTCAGTTTTCTGGTGTGAGGTATGCTTCTCTTACGTCGGACATGAGGCATAGCCCGATGAACAAAGTGAAAGAACTGTTTAGAGCCTAATACCTAAAAATAAGCAAGAACAATCGCCATTAGATTAATATGATACGGATTTTTAAAATAAAGATGTGACAGCGTACGAAGGACTTGATGGTAATACAATGATAAGCCACACTTAATCTAAAGGTTAAACTTTTTTAATCAAACTTTTGTTTTTCATATTGCTTTCAGAAAGGCACTTTATAAGTTTCCAAAAATTTTATTAGATAACAACATAAGAAAAAAATTGCCTTATATTTTAAAGAAAATCATGTTATTTTTCTAATTAAAACCCTCTTAAATCTTCGAAGGGCTGTGGTTTACAAAAAAGTAAGTAAAATAATGTAAAATTTCATTTAAATAAATTGTTCAGCTAGAGCTAAACTAAAAGAAATTTGACGATTCTGGTGTTTTATTTAAAAAATTTCTGTCACTCCAAGAGTTAAGAAACGTTTTTATAAACAATTTAAGAATTTGGGTTATCATTATATTGCTCCAAGCCATACATGTTACGAATCAATTTTTGAACGCATAAACACATTTATTTAACCTTTCTTCAATGTAGCCTTCTTAAAAATCCTCTATATTTAAACAATTCAATAGAGTGTAATACTGTTGACATTGTGTTATTTGTTGATCGGTACAATAGAGCGATATCAAATGATTTGCAAGAGTCAAGTTAAAAGTTTTTAAGAGAACAGTTTCCACGAATGTCTATATTTCTTGTGATGATATTATATCCCTATCATCTTTGACTATAATTCTTTACGGTCTATACCAACTACCATCAACGGAGCATTAACTAAACCTATCAAAACACCTTTCAAAAATTTGGAAATGAATTCAACTGCTCAGAAAGAATATAATGTATGCATTTAGAATGATGCCAGTTTCGTAAGTGAAAGTTATGCAGTTAATTATATATTGATTGAGAATTGTAAAATAATATAATTTTCAATTTCGATTTTTAGAGAGTTTGTTTCTGGTCGACAATGGTCGACATTCTTTAATTGTAGGTTATACAATTTTTTATAAAATTTCAAAAGATGTAATTTTACACGTCAAAGTACTGACTTTGAGCGAAATTAGTCAAATAGATTGAATTTTAAAAACACGGCTGTTTTAAAATTCGATTTCTCAGGAACTATTCGACCGATTTCACTCCTCAAAATTTGTATTTTGCCATGTAAAATTATACTTTTTAAAATATCGTAAAAAACAGTATATCTTACTATTCAAATTCTTAAATAATAATAAATATCTACCAAAAGTTATATTTTTCATGGAATTATCTTTGGATAAACGATTTTATAATTGTAAGCAAAATTCTTTCAATTCGCTTAAAATGTTTTCGAGATATGGCGAAATGCGTAAAAAATGAAATTAATTTAAGGGTTCTAAGCTTTGGATCGCTCTCCTAACTAAACTATGGGGACCATATTTCCCAGAATGCCGCTACTCCCTATATTTTAGGAGTCAGAAATCCAAATCCGTCGAAAAAAAAAGTACGTTTATTCAGAAAAAGTAAGTCTTTGTGTCTGATTTCGTAACTCAATATATCATATGCGCTATTTAATTAGCATATTTGAGGTCATCTACTTGACTCATTAAGATTGAGTCCTCGAACGTGAAGATCGATCATTAGATCAAAAGTTATTCAGGGTGGTTCCTTTTTTTATATTGTGCTACGTACATGTACACAAATGGTTGTGAAAAAAACAAACGAACAGGAAGTTCAAGGAAATTGTAATATACTTTGGTTTTCAGATTCTAGAGTAGAAATATCAATAAGAAAATACGTAAGGAAATATTTCATAATCTTACAACCGAAAAATGAAGAAAAGGATCTGAAATAGAAACTTGGTGCCCTTAGAATATTTCATATAAATTCTTTGAAAGGTCTCGAATATTGCTATAAAATTCCAAAAGGGTAACTCTCGATATCTTTGATATGTTAAAAGAAACTAAAATCAGGACGAAGAGGACTTTTTGGAACATGAATATTTCATGTTCAAGCAGAAGGAATATTCGCGTTGGAATGTGAAGGCTTTGTTATACGATAAAAGCCAGAGGCATAAAATTCTAATGTAAAGAATTTTTGGATACCAAGATTTGAAATATTTACTTTTCTACAGTTATTAAAGACTGAAGCTTTTATTCGAAGTCAAAATTTTTTATTTATGAGTTCCTCCAGAACATATGGCCTATTCAGCAGAAAAGTGTGAAATTTGTGCCCTTTGCCTTTATTCAGTTTACTTTTCCTTCAAAGAATTTCTTTAAAAAATATTAAAACCTTTCATTTACGCTTTTAAAGGCATTAAATTTATTACGTTTTATGACTAACAGACTATCCTTAATGGTAAAAATGTCACTTTTGTTTTTGTTATAGTGATATTCCAATGTAAGCAATATACTATTACATTTATTTTGTTGCTTTGAGCTAAGGTTGTTAGAAATATCGAGGAAAGGTTCGATAGTTTTCCCAATTTTTCCAATTAAAATCTATTGTAGCTGAAGCATAAAGCTTAATCAACCAAAAACAATCTAAAAGATATGATTTGATCTATGGTTGAAAAGATCTATGGAGGTTGTATGAAGACGCCAGTGAGAAAACTTAAGCCTTCTATTGGGAAGGGGTTAAANAGTAAAAAGATGAAAAAGAGGAAGAAGCAAAAGAATTCCAAGAATTCCTTGGATATATATATATATATTGCCTCATTAAATTGTCTATAAACAGCTATGGTCAATAAAAACAATAATTATAACTGATGTACTTAATTTGTTTTTATAAAATTTTGGTACTAGCCGATAATAGGTCGCCTTTTCTATGTTTTCAGATTTGTCAGCATGTTTATTTCTTGAAAAAAGCACCACGATGCTTTTGATTTTTGCAAAGTTTGCCTATCCCTAATGATTTACACCGGTAATACTGTTTTCCTAATGATTTATACCGGATTTACATCAGTTGATGTAAATACAGTTAATCTCTATTCTGATGGGAGGAGCTACAAAAACAGTTTTTTTTGCATAATATAATAACGTAAAGTCACCGGGATGGGCAACAAATGATAATAAATAAATAAAAATGAAAATATTTTTACTTAATTAATTTAAGAGATTTGTGGAAAACCAGGTAAGTGACAATTTCAGAGAGGCTATAATCAGGGTACGATGAAAAAACATGGCCTCCTAACTATTTTATTACTGATTTCTAAGAAGGACTAATAATTCTTTTTGCCTTATTTTATTTACTACTGCTTAATTTGAAAATAAAAATCATGAGAGCATACTAGCAAATAATGTGGATTAGTTGCGTTAAGATTAAAATGAAAGCAAAAACAATTTTGTTATACGAAACACACATTATTGATGCAACCCCTTCATGTTATTTTCACCGATTTATAAATACTCCGAACTTACCTAGTTCTTCCACTAAACTCGTTAATTGTTTCGGTACATACCTCCCAGTTTTGAGCATGATTTCGCAGTGTTGTCCAGTACTGATTAATTGTTTTTTTAATTCATCCCGTACAAAGAACGGAATTATCTGACATGAATCCGATTAAAACATTATATCAGAAATAATCCGAAAAACAGCAGTAGCATGAAATTATGGAAATTATTCAATATATAAGGGGAGCCGAAAAGTTATATCGTATCGGTGCAATTGATATTTGTTATCAAGTTTTTATTTTTAATCAATAATGTATTCACCCTCGTTAGCAACAACCTTTCAATGCCGGATCTAAAATGAAACGAAATAGATCGAAAAAAACGAATTGGTTTTTAAGACTAACGGATATTTAATGTACCGAAACGACATTACTTTCCGGTCCCCCAAATATATATACATATATACACCGAAGAGCCATTACATTATGACCACTCTGCTAATAACATTAGCCCTCAAAACTGCTAGCACCCGCCATGGCATTCTGGCATTGATTCCACAAGGTGCTGATAGGTAGTCTGAGGTATCTGGTACCAAGCGCTCACCAACTGATCCTGCAATTCCTTCACATTGCGAGGGGGTAGCATGGCAGCTCGAATCTGGTTTTCCAAGTAGGACCACAAATGCTCTATTGGATTAAGGTCAGGTGAATTTGGGGGCCAAGACATGACTTGAAAGTCACTGGAATGTTCCTTGACGATTCGACCCTTATGACACGGTGCATTATCCTGTTGGTAAACACCATCCCTCTCAGGACAAACTGTTGCCATGAATGTGTGAACCTGATCTGAAACCATGTTCAAGTAGCTTACAGACGTCAGGGATTGTTCTATGAGGTTCTATATATATATATATAGAATGATGCCAGTTTCGTAAGTGAAAGTTATGCAGTTAATTATATATTGATTGAGAATTGTAAAATAATATAATTTTCAATTTCGATTTTTAGAGAGTTTGTTTCTGGTCGNATATATATATATATAGTTATTCCCATAAAAATTCACGTACCAAGACAAAATGGAGTAATTTTACGTTCAATACGTACATGCTAGTTCGATTAAAAAATAAAAGCAAAATGATGATTTATTGTAGAAAAAAATACAAAGAAATGGAAGTCGAATTCTAGGCGCGTTTTAGAGGTATCTCGGAACTTGAATTTAAAAGTAAACATTTTCCTCCTCTGTTATCATTCTTTAGATTTTTTCATAAAGTGTTTAAATATAATATTGCATCTCCTATCTGATTAAATGTCGATCCGGAGTAAAAAGATGAAAAAGAGGAAGAAGCAAAAGAATTCCAAGAATTCCTTGGAGAAATTTAATAGTCCAAATATTTCATTTTCAAATATGACAAAAATTGTAAGTTCTTGTAAGGTGAGTAACATCTTGAAAAGTAAAGTTTATATTTTCTCATTATAGCGATGAAATGCTAGAACTGATTTAAAAGCTATCCTGTGTCTTAAGAAAATAAATGCCGAATTCAAACAGTTTGAGCAATTCTGTAAAATATAAGATAGAAATAATATCAAATTTTTTAGACCTTTTAATAAAGATAAGAGTATCAAATTTTACTAGAT